TTTTTTGGGGGGGGGGGGGGGGGGGGGGTAGGAGAAAAAGAAAAAGAGCATATTAGCCCAATGTCATGCATAATTTCTCGTACCTTCGGTAGATGAAAGTAGCGAAAATAAAGATAATGAAATGAATATGTGAGTATATCAGGGGAGAGAATTAGAAACGAAGATATTCAAAACAAGGTGAGAGTAACCTATATAATGGGCAAAATGAGAATGACGTCGTTGAAATGGTTCGAACATGTGAAGAAGAGATGCACAAATGTCCCCAATGAAGAAATGTGAGAGTTAACCAGGGGCATAACTACGTTATAGTTAGGATCTCCAATTGGACACCCTTCGTCCGAAAATAATATTGTATATATTAGTAAAATGATATACAAAGTGATTAAATAACATATTCTGAACAGTCTTGACAGAACAAGGTGTTGTAGTCCAATGATTTTAGATGTCTTGAAAAAGCCAGTGCTTAGGGTGCTCACGTGTTTGAACCTCACTAGCAACAATTTTTATTTTATTTTTCACTTTTTTTTACACACTCCGTGTAATTCCTAGCTCCGCCACTAGAGTTAACTATGATAGGTATGAAGAGAGGTAGAGATAAATTGAAGAGGTATTGGCGAGAGAGTAATTAGATAGGACATGAAATATCTACAGCTTACCAAGGACTCGACCCTAGGTAAAAAGATATGAAAGTCAAAAATTAGGATAAAAAATTAATAGGTAGTCAAGCGTTATCTAATTTTCCTTATCGGTATTATTACTTCAATTTTATCATTACACGGTTTCTTTTACCCCGATTAACATATTATAAATTGTTGCTATTGTTCTTTTCTTTATTTATTTCAACATAGCTTCTTCATTACTGTATTTTCTTTTCATACTTATTTTATTACTGTAAAGCCCATAGGGGTTGTTGTGATGGTATACACAACTTGCATTTTATAAACCTAAAAAGTGGGAAAAAATGGGTTGATTTCTTCCAAATTTTCATAAATTGAGTACATGTATCCTCAAAAAAAAACTTGATAAAATTATTTTCCAATACTCTTAAGATATACAAATAGACAAATCCATATATTAACAATTAGATCAATCTGATATCTTGATCAGCTTACGCGCACCTCAATATATTTCGCTTTTTGTATATATTTTTTGGGGGAAATATGTTCTAGAAAGGTCATTCACATGTATGATGTATCCATAAGACACTTTTTTAAGTGGCCTTTTTAAGTAATGGGCACCACTTGGGGCATCATGTGCATATTGTTGCACATGGCCACCAATTGTATATACATACATGAACTTCAAACAAAAACGACTTAACTTCAGTCTTACGAAACTTCAAACACCATATGTCTAAAATTATTTCGAAACGAAATGCCTTACAAAATTTTACGCATTGCAAATACGGCTTAAATTGTGCTGCAATTTACGATTCATGCTATCGAATAAGCTGAATAAATAATTATGGCAAAAGTATATACAATATAGAAATAAGTTATGTTGCTGGATACATACTAAATTTTCAACAAAAATTAAACTACAAAATTATTATTCCAAAAGTGTAAATAAGATCTTAAAGGTAGAATTACATCAAAATTTTAATAATTAATCTATATCTGCTTATTTACATGGCCAAAAATAGAAAACAAGAAAAAAAAGGTCCATGGGCCATAAAATGAAACTATAATTTAACCAAAAAGATATGAAATACCAAACATATATAAATTTAGTGCTGCTAACATAATCAAATTACAATTAGTATAACAAAAATTTCAACATAAATGGCCAATATTATGTCAATATTAATTCAAACTACTCGAAAACTCGCTTTTTTTTTATAACCGAGAAATTCTTTTGAAGCCAACCGCTAAAGACCAAACATAGTCTTCAAAACTCTAGGATAATAAATCCGATCTTCTATCCTTCTCCACTCAAATACCAGACGTATTTCGCATGGCTAAGGTCACAAGTCCATCAACATTTGCAACTACAACTAAGCCTTGAGTTTTTTTACCTTCTAGCTTTTACACCTAGTTTGATTACGATCTCAATTACATTTTGTGTCTTAATTTGACTGTACACGAAATTTAAGAAAATAAGAAAGGCGGTTGAACCTTGTATAGTTAAACTATAGAGAAGTTACCAAAATATACTATGAATCATGTGTGATCCTAACTACTAAAATATACCATATAGTATGTTTGGAATTAAATATATTACTAAATGTAAAAAAAAAAATAGCATTCTTAAAATGAAAGTACATAAATTGAAACACAAAAAAATAGTAACACATATATTTATGTACTTATATTTGTACCAATTTTGTTCTTTTTTCTTTCTTCTATTGTTATCTTTTGTACTTGTATATGATGCATTTGGAAAATGTCTTGAAGAGTACCCGGAGGAATAGTAAAAACACGCGAACTTGGACGTGAACCCTGATGAAACGTAGTATTGGATTCGAGTATGAATCCAATACACGTATTTAATTTTTAGTCGGTTTTTAAATCGTATTTTTTGGAGGAATGATTTACTCAAAAACCTTCAGCATGGAGGATATATGTCATTAGCTATTGTATATAGCCGGACTTTTACCCCCCTCTCAACACAATCCCTTAACTCGCGTATTTTTCACTTCATGAGCTTCACTCTAAACTATCATATAGTATATTAACATCGCGGAGAGTGCCACTAGCCACAGTCGAGGGCAGAAAAAACTAAATAGAGGATAAAAGACGCGTACCAGAAAGGCGTCAATCGACCCACATCATCATCTACTAGCAATTTTGAATGAACAGGCAATACCTGATTGTCCCTGCGTCAAATAATAACTAAAGATTGGTATAAAAGAACAAAAAAAAAGCTTCTTTGTGATAATGCAAGTACAACATTATAACCTATGATCAAAAATGGGATTTTGGCATACTAATTAGATTTATCAACTTGACTGCAAAGTGATTAAAAAAATTCTAAAATAAGAAAAAATTAATCCATGTATTAATTCTTCCTTAGTAGAAAAACCTGTAAATGCACTCTAGCATTTTGAGCATACACATGGCTTATGTAAGCTCGGACTCTTCAAAAATATCGACGGGTGTGTGTTGGAGGATCTGACAACATTTTTGAAGAGTCCAAACAATATGATTCCCGCATTCATTGCTAAAATTACTCTTACCCCAGGGACATCAACATATAGTCAGGGTACCAACTTAACCTCTTAGATCTTAAATCGAGTTTCGGGTCAAACTCTCCTAACATGCTAGACAGCAGATTATAGCAATATGTATCTATGGAAAGATTATCGAGAGTAATAATTCACAAAAAACACAACATATTGACCCGTATATGTAAAGATTGACGAAAATAAATAGTGCATTCACACACACATAGACAAGATATCTCAGCAACATCCCCAATGTAATCCCACAAGTGGAGTAAGATAAGATGTACACGACCTTACCCCTACCTTTGTGAGGAAGAGAGACTATTTCCGATAGACCCTCGCAACACGAGATATCTCAACATAACAACCAAATAAACTAAAAGGTACTTTGAATTCCGTGAAATTAAATATGGTATATATTATTATACTTGAAATGTAAGGTATATTGTAATGTATGTCTGTACACGAGATATAGTTCCAAAAGAGTGCCTTGAAATTGCATAATAAAAGAACAACCGATTTTGAATTCTTAAGAGGAGGAACTCATCTGCAACTGTGATATCTACAAGAAAATATGCAAGGGGCACACACTCGTCGTCCTTTTTTCACAAGAATGCGTAAACCCGGAAGTACGTGTATGCATCTGGTACCGCCCGACCAGGAGTTGCAAGGGCAAACCCTGAAATGGCATCAAAGTAGCAAAACGAAGTTACAAAGCATATTGGCCTAAAATGCTATTACTAAAATTTGCAATCCTCACATCCATTTTCAAAATAACATCAATTGGGATTTGGGTCCTATGTCTTATACGTGCATTGTATTACATCTTTTGGGATTTGTACAGATCCATATACAATCACCTTCAAAGTAGCTCAAGTAGATAATTACTTTACATAATTCTAACAGTAAAGCCTCTCTACCCCACAAAGGTAGATAAGGTGTGTGTACATCCTACCCTCGTTAGACTCCACTTGTTATATTGCTAAAAGTAAAGGTGAACACAACCAAATCAATTGCCTCAACAAAGCAGGGAAGAGAGAAAGAGAGTGCAGAAAGCAGAGAGAGACACACACACAACAACAACATACCCAATGTGATCCCACAAATACCATATAGGGCGAATAAAGTGTACGCAGACATACAAATCAATTGCCTCAACAAAGCAGGGAAGAGAGAGAGTGTGTGCAGAAAGCAGAGAGAGACATACACACAACAACATACCTAGTGTGATCCCACAAATACCGTATAGGGAGAATAAAGCGTACGCAAACATATGTGGCTCGAATCCTTCAAAAATGTTGTCGGGTAGGCATTGAATCCTTCAAGAGTTCTTTTTAAGAGGATCTAACATAGATGTGGGCTGTGGCAGCATTGTTGGAGAATCAAAGCAACATAGGTTCCCCCATCTATCCTAGAACTTCTATTTTAAAGATCTTCGGTCTATTTAACAATTACACATTACTATAATACTTGTGATGCAGGGAGTGTATAAGTTCATCTCTTGCCTTCTTTTCTCTTGGATTGATTTTATGTATTTTCCTTTGTATTGAATCTTGTTTGGAATATTAATTAGTAAGTTGTTTCATATTTGTTAGGTCAAACACTTCGAGTTGTTATTCTAATATGTATAATTTAAATTCACCATATCCTATATTCTTTCTTAGTGTGCTTCTGTATATTTCTTTTGCTTTCACTACCGCAAGACTATCTGCTAAAGATCTTGCACCCACTAAATGAAGGTTTCACTAGCTGGCTGGCAAGAAAAAAAGAAATTACATACAACGAGCGACTCAAACATGTTTCTTCTCCTTTTGTTATACTGGAGAAATACTCGAGGATTAGTGGGAGCAAAATTCAAGACAATTGATAATGGGTTCATCCTTATATCCTTTTTCAACTTAAGTACCGGGCTTTTTGTCTGCGACAGGATTCAAACTCATGAAGCGCGCGCACACATCACAATCTGTATTTTTAGTGCTAGACTGGCCCTGGAGCCTTTTAGAATAAAGATGAAGTACCTTAACATTTACACCAATTACTATTTTTCGAAAGAATTTCTCCCAACTCTTACACGCCTCTATTCCTTATAGTATGATCCCTGATGTGTACAAAGAATGACCAAAAAAAACCTTCATATTTTCCTGACCTATAGACAATACATATATTGCATCTTAATCCAGGTAGCTATCCATTGGAGAAGCGCTAGATTGTCTGAACTATAAAGGCATGAAGATTTGCATCTAGGGAGGAGTCATCCACGACAATTCAAAGGCAACATATTCTGTTGAGATACATTGCAAATAGCGACAACTAATAAAATGCATATCAAACACTAGTAGTGAAAGATGGCTATATTCAAAAAACAATAGTTCCACTACAATGTATAAATTGGTTTCTGCTTCTAGAAACATAAAAATAGGAACTGCTATTGACAATACCATTGCTTACAAGATGTACACGATGACGAACTCTGTGCAAACTGCAGCATGGGTGTCCTTGGAAACCACAGGTCAAGAACAGACCCCTAAGAAGAAGAAAAAGGAGTTAGTATTGGAAAACAAAGAGTCAGCAAACAGAATAAACTCAAGAAATTTCAGAAGCAAATTAAAATACCTAACACATCAGATCTGGCATCTCTTTTGCATTTCAATTCATCGAGCCACGACACCTGATGAGACAATGCATATAATAACAAAATAAGGTTAAGGCCTTTGCTGATCCTTAACAAACCTAAACAAAGAAAGCTTAACTGAAATAACAGTGTACTAAGACATCACTGGAGAAATAAATGTCTTGGAAAAGAATCAAAGGGTATAATAGTCTATAAACTATCATCTTGTTAAAGAGAGATTGTCTTTCGCTATTTTAACTAGCATACAAAGGATAAAGCTAGCAATCAATTTCTTCCCCTGTGCAATACTGTGTTATATTGCGCACACAATAAAATATAGATAAAAATTCAATCACCAACAATAGTCTTATACCTCTTAGAACCACAATTACACGGGATCTTCTTTTCCTCCAAGGGAAACTTGTAGTTGTAAGTTATCTCTTCACCAGCTGCAATATGCCGCTTAGCATATATGAAGATCTTTTTCTGACCCTCAACACTTATAACTTTTGTATAGCAATTTGGCTGCAACATATGTTAAGATCAAGCAGATGACATTATCGAGTTGAAATCCTATGACACTTCATGTCACACAGTCGTAAATTCCAATAGTAAGAAAATCACCTCACAAGAATGGTTTACGAATCTGGCAATACCACCACGTTTTGTTGCATCAACCTTCATAAAATACAGTCAGTTATTAAGAAATGCCTGCTCAATCTTTATGAAATTAACAATTTTTCATAATATGCAGCACATTATGACTATTGGTTCAAGATCGGATTAATTAGAGCCTGTTTGGATTTGGTTTATTTTAAGTGTTTTTAAGCCAAAATAGCTTTTAAGCACTTTTGGAGTGTTTGGATAAATTAAAAAAGTGCTTATAAGCACTTGGTTTAAAGCTAAAATGATAAAAATAAGTCATAAGTTAGAATTTCTAACTTATGGCTTATAAGTCAAACTAAAAGCCAATCCAAACAGGCTCTTAGACTAGATTCCCAGCAAAATTGCATAAACTGGAAAAGCATTCCTTTAGCTTTAGCATTACACAATAAGCTATCACAATTCACTTGCAACCCCTGGTAATGTGAGAATTGCATCCACTATTCCAGAAACACACAACAGCGATTTTGATTACAAGATTAAGCAATGGCTTTCAGATTCAGCAAGTAAAACACCTAAATCCTTAGGGTTGTTTGGTGAGAGGGATTAGAAAAAATAATCTCAGCATCAAACCTCGCACAGAATTATGCAGTGTTTGGTTGGCCATATAAGAAAAATAATCTCAAAAATAATGCAAAGTTTGTTCAACAGTATTTAAATAATTACCGCACTAGCTATGCAGGAATCTATGTATCATTTTATGCCGGATAGAATGTGTAAATGGGGATAAAGTATTTAAAGACAAAGGTACTCTTAAAAAGCAAGTATTTCCTAAATACCATTCCTTGTCTTATTATTCACACTCGGCTTGCGCTACTCCTTTTATCTTTTCTCCGGGTGGTTTTGGAGAACATCAACTTATCGTGATTGATTGGTCACACACAATTTTATTTCTCGACATTATTATACAACAACATACCTACTGTATTCCTACAAGTGGAGTCTAGGGATGGTAGAGTGTACGCAGACCTTACCCCTACCTCTGGATAAAGAGGTTTTTTTTAGACAGCTGGATAGAGAGGTTGTTTCCAAAAGATTCAACATTATTAGTCATTGCATAAAAGTCCATCAATATTAATCACCGCATAAATAATCCTCGCATGTGAACCAAACAACCCCTTAAATTACAACCTATTTAAAACTAAGCTCCTTGGAGTACACATGCATGGAGAACATTATGAGAAGTTAAAATTCTCCTTGATATCCCACCCCTTGGGAACGGCCCTGCGCTAACGTGGGATACTTTTTGTACCAGGCTGCCACTTTTTTCAATCCCACATCCAATCTTTTTAAGGATATAAGCAATTAGAAATCACCAAAGAAATATTGGACCTTCAACGTGGTCATTGGTTCATGGAAAACTTAAACCTGAATCTTACAAGTAGAAAAGCCAAAAAGCTATTTATCCTAGCATTAAAATTGATAGGATCTACCATTCCAAAGAAAAAAATTAATAGGATCTGATCACCTATTTTTGCATTGCTCTACTGCAATGAGATTTTGTTGGGAGTAACGGAAAGACTTATCAATGAGCTTCTTACAAACAGATTTTGGGACATTAAGAAGAAAATAATGCCTTCTTGCTTCTATAACATGATCTTCTCAAACACACAGTACAGCAAGAACGTTTCAACAACGATATATGGCAATCAAATTGGGATAACAAGTTATCCTAGCATCAGTTTGATCCAAGAGTAATGGCTTTTAGGATAGATATAGACAGACAGAGCACAAGTAGAATAGAATTTCTACTTCATTTTGGTTTTGACCGACTTAAGGTTAAAAGGCATTTCATCCTAACCTGTGACTCTTCTTTTCAGCATTTGTATAAAAAGATAATTCTATCCAAAATAGAAACATGAGAGGAATCTACATCATCAAGTAAACTGTATAAGAAACTGAATTCTCCAACTACTTGCTCACCACATAATCATCATCCAGTCTGAAAAGGTAACTGCTCCCAATTCCTATCTTCTCATAATAGTGCTCTCGTATGTCAGATACCTGAGAATCTCAAAAAGGAGAGGAGTAAGATTTCAAATAATGAACACTTGAGATCAGTGTTTCAGACAATCAAACAAAATCACTAGTACACAAATAAACAAAGCTACGACACCAAAATGTATGAAGAAAACTTGCGGCAAAAGCAGCAAGCTGGAATGTACTTCAGGTTTGGAAGCAATGCTCTTACACGACGACGTATAAGCTCTCCAACATATTCAATGACAAAGTCTTCAGCATCAATAGGCTCAAGGGCAACAAGACCCCAGTCATGTATCTTACTTTGTTGGAAGCGAAGGCGCTTCTTCCTAGCCTACAAAAGACGTAGATGAATATGTAACTTGTATATAACCAAAAAAAAAAAAACGAACATATACAAATCGCCCGTGCTGAGCACAAGCCCAAGAATTACTTTGAACACAATTTACTAATCAAACTCTTGACTTATTTTTTTGTTTCAGATAGTTAATCAACAATCAATGCACAAAGTATATAAGTTTTATCAATATCCTTTTAATAATGGGCATTATAAATTATTTCAGCAATGTTAACAATTCAAAAAACAAACGACGATAAAATATTATTGGACACAATTCAAAAAAAAATAATCAACAGTATGGTTATTATTAATTAAACGATTTGTAGTATCTTAAGAGGTTCTTTTTAAAAATTAAGTTATTTTTAAAATAAAAAGGCAAGGCTTTGAAGCCGCATAAATTTTCCACTCCTGTTTTACAAAATAAGAGAGGACTAATATGATGCTCTCTATTAAATAATTGGCTTTTGTTATATTCTTGGTGATTCTTCCTTTATCAGTTCTCCTTTTTAGTAATCTTTTTGGTGCATAATAGTTAAAAAGGAAAAACTTATCCTTCCATTATCTTTCAAACTTCAATAAGATTTCCTTTCCTTTATAGTTACTAAGATGTTAGTCTGTTACTGTTTGCTAAGTTTAAAAAGTCCAAAGAGCTCTTCACTGAAAGATTTAAGTTGAAATATGGAAGTGATGTATAGTACCTCAATACATACACATTCATTAATGACATTCAAAATTTAAAGAAGTATCTATGGAAAAAAAAAGTAAAAGGAGCAACTCAGATGCTTAATAGACATAACTTTAAAAGAATATTTTTTAAAAAGTTAAAGATTTATAAAAAAAATTAATGGGGGAAAAAATTGTACATGATCTTTCAAAAGAATGTAAAATAATAAATGGAGTAATATCTGTCATCATTTGAAATGAATGTAAAATGATAAATGGAGTAATATTTGTCATCATTTGAATTAGAGATGAAGTATCTAAGTTACAAAAAAACTAATTAAAATAAGTTGCATGACCATAAGCCCCTCAAACTAAATTTATGTACATACTTGTCCCTTTTTAAAACAATAATGAATATACAAATGTCACTGTCATAGTGCATATGATGTCACTGCCTTGAATGCTTTTGGGGCAAAAAAAATGAACCCAAACATTGCTAAATTTATCAAAGTGCACAGGAGACTTTATTGTTATTAAATGAAGTGAAAAAGAGGGGTAAAACAAGGTATTATAAAAGAGGTAAGAAGGCTTAACAGTTAAATGCATTTCAAAAGCTGCAGGTGGGATCCATTTCCACAATAAGAAGAAAAAGAAGAATTTTGCCAACTTGAATATGAATATGAACTACGACAAGGAAAATCAATCCTTAAAAAGACAAACATTGAATTGCTCTCGTGTAACATATCCGGATTTTCTTTGTCTATTGACTGAGTTCCCCTTTTTAGTTTGTGTTTTCCATTATATTAGATGTGGAGATGAAGGTCCAAAGCAGGAGCTAGCATTCAAATGTGGGCGGAACTTCACTCTTTTTTAGGAGAGCTCCCTATGTACCCTCTCTTTTCAGCAAGAAAAGAAAAAGAATAAAGTCCCACGTAATTCACAGTTAATCAGCCCACACAGAACCATTAGTCTTTGACAAAAGTCAAAGGGCATATTCATTAAAGAGGATGAATTCTTTCAAGTAAGCTACAGTAAATCCATTTGAAAGCCAATAGAATTATTTTAGTTTATTGAGTTACATCATAACCCAGTATCTGAAGGCTTTCCCGTCAAATCACGTTGACGGGAAGCTCCTCTCTTTCTCCCTTATTAATTGTAGTAAAGTAAAAGAAATGCATATAACAAGGCAAATTCTCATGTTACCTTCAATTGAGTAGCTTTCAAGAGGTCAGCACCCTCGGCAGCAGCAAGGAGGCTGCGCAACTTAACCCTATTTGTTCTTGCAGAAATTCCCTTAACATTTAACATTTGAGAACCATTAGCATCTGAACTAACAGATTGAATATGAACAACCTTAGTTCCCCTAACACGAGCCCTTTCGGCAGGACTTGCCCTCAACGACCATTTACGCCACTCCCAACCATTGATCGAAGTTCGAGCACAGCCAACTGATTGTGTACAATGTTTTGCTATCCGGGATTTACCCTTCTGGTTCTTCTCTGGAGTAGCCACCTTTGTTGCAGCTTGGTTGCCAACACCACTTGATTGTCTCTGAAATTTTCTTGAACGAGATGCTGTCAGATTATCCTCTAGTTTTCTCTTTTTCAAATCCGGTAATTTGGCTGCTGCTTCAATAGCCCAACCAAGACACATATTAATGAGGCAATAAACATGAGAGATCATGTGAACACTGATAACATAGAAAAAGGAAAAATAGAGCATCAATTTAGATGAAATGTAAACACTAACATTTAGGAGTCTTCTTCGAACTAGAGGGTGGTTGCATTTCTTGAGTGCCCAATTCCCTGTTTGCAACCTCAGCCACCTTTCCATCACCACTGGAGTCCGCGGCAACTAAAGTAGCCTTCAGTTTACTGTGGCCTGTATTACTTCTCCCTGCAACACAATTTAGTACAGTATGATAAACATGACTAATTAATATAATGTCTTATTCTGGTAACATCTGAGAAAACTAACTCAAGAAAATTGAAAGACCTCGGGAAACAGATGCAACTTTCTCTGATATGGTGTTAAAATTAATAACCGATGATGGAGGAACAACTAAAGACGCATTAGTGAATAACTCTTTGTGACAATCTTTCAGCCCAATTTCCTCAACACGTAAAGCTGCATTGTCACCCTTATTGATCTCTGTTTCCTCCCCTAAGTGATCTTGCTTCGTTGACTTGTTAATAGTTCTTTTTTTGAAGCCAATGTTTCCATCAACCATCCCATTATCACTGGAGACCTCAGTGGCATTAGCAGCCTTCAGTTTTTTGCGGCTTGCATTTCTTCTTCTCGCTGCAAAATTTTAAACAGTATGATAAACATGATCAAAAAATATAATGTCCTTTTCTAATAAAATATGAAAAAACTAACTCGGGAAAACTGAAATACCTTGGGAAACAGATGCGACTTTCTCTGAGATAATGTCACAATTAATAACAGATGATGGAGGAACAATTAAAGACACATTAGTTAACAACTCTCTGCGACAATCTTTCAGCCCAATTTCCTTAACATTTAAAGCTGCATTGTCACCTTTAGTGCTTTCTGTTGCCTCCCCCAAGAGATCTTGTTTCCTTGACTTGTCGATAGATCTCTTTTTGAAGCCAACATCTTCACCAACCTTCCCATTATCACTGGAGACCTCAGCGACAAAAGCATCCTTCAGTTTTTTGCGGCTTGCACTACTTCCCCTCGCTGAAAAATTTACAACAGTATGATAAACATCATCTATAATATAATGTCCTTTCTGGGAACATTTAAAAAATCTAACTCAAGAAAACTGAAATACCTTTGGAAACAGATGCAATTTTCTCTGTGATAGTGTTACAATTAGTAACAGATGATGGAGGAACAACTAAAGAAGCATTAGCGAACAACTCTCTGCGACAATCTTTCGGCCCAAATGCAATGCCATTTAAATCTGCATTGTCAACTTTAGTGCTCCCCGTTGCCTCCCCCAAGAGATCTTGTTTCCTTGACTTCTTGCTAATAGATCTCTTTCTGAAGACAACGTCTCCATCAACCTTTCCATTATCACTGCAGACCTCAGCAATAAAAGTGGCCTTCAGTTTTTTGCGACTTGCATTACTTTTCCCCGCTGCATAATTTAGTACAGTATGGCAAACATGTCTAATAAATATAATGTCCATTCTGGTAACATTTGAGAAAACTCAGGAAAACTGAAATACCTTTGGAGACAGAAGCAACTTTCTCCGAGCTAGTGTTACAACTAATAACCGATGATGGAGGAACAACTAAAGAGGCATTAGTGAACAACTCTCTGCGACAATCTTTCAGCCCAATTTCCTTCTCACTTGAAGTTGCACTGTCACCTTTAGTGTTCTCTGTTGCCTCTCCCGAGAGATCTTTTTTCTTTGACTTGTTTAGAGAACTCTTTTCATAGCCAATGTCTCCACCAGGGAGAGGCTGCGATGAAGAGCCTGACTTTCTTTTAACCATCTTTTTCTTTCGGTAATATGTATATTTCCCCACTGCTGTAGGTACATTAGGAAAACCATCCCCACTTTTGCTTAATGCATCTGGAGATTTATCACGTGTTTCATCACCCGCTTTGCTTCTTGTAACCTGACAAAGCAAAAGTAGCATTCAGAAGAGCTTAACTCTTTACACTGAGGAAATTTAATCTCTAAATTTAGGGGAAGAATTGACTCTCTGAACTGAGGGGAAAAAATTAACTCTTTGAACTGACAGTTTTAGAAAACCAACAATTGCACTTACCGGAGAATCCTCGGATTTACTACATCTCCTCGCAGAAGACGAAGTTGTCAAAAAGTTTCTAATTATATCATCAACAAGAAAACTTTTCAACTCTCTCAGTGCTTTCTCATGTACCCTCTGCCGGCAATTTGACAGGGTCGCATACCATATTATTCTCAAAATAGAATCATCAGACCTAGCAAGTCGAACTTTAGAAGTTTGTACAGGAACAGCTTCGCATTCAGGTGGTTGCAGCTCATCAGTCATTTCATTACTGGAGGCATTGTCTAAACCAGCAGACTTCTGAAATGCACTTGAAAACCACTCTGACACAGGAATCACATATGGATCAATAGAGTTCTGGTGCAATGATTTTTTGCGCGAGGAAGTATTCTGAATATCAACATGAGCTAAGTTTTCTGACACCAAAATGGCCTCAGAAGAGTCATTTTGACTTGCACCGCCATTAAAAATATTTGGGTCCTCAGCAACCTGCAGAATAAAACTGTTCCTTGAGATGCTGAAGTTCATTATATTGCGGTAAGCATTGGCATCTCGAATTATACAGGGGAAACTTTATCAGGTAAGGGATTACTTCAACAAAGTCTCTCCACCACCTATGCACTTCTAGGGGAGGGACAAAGTTTACACAGATCACAGCAAGTTCAAATATTCACCTTGATTATCACGCCATCTTTAAGCGAATCAACTTTTCCCATCACCTCTTCATGCAAAAGGCTAGTGAAATAATCTTCCAAGGACATCTTTGCAGACAAGTGGAGTTCATCAAATACACTCTCAAGGATAGGTTGCATACGATCATCAGCTTCAGGGTCCGTTGCATGACTGGATCTCGACAAAAATGATGAAACTGAAGGCAAATCCACTGTCATATTCATCTCCTCAAACCCTGGAGGGAAATCAAGATCACAGCCGAAAGATTCTTGCTCCACTTGCAACTGCAAAGTCATAAGTCCGTCTGTAAGGAAGCACACACAACCACTGCAAATTGACAGGAAAAACAACAGCATAAAAAAACTTACAACTTCAGTAGAGAGCTCCACAGTGCAATCTTTTGATGACAAAACTGAAGGCAAATCCGCTGTCAAGTTCTTCTCCTCAAACCCTGGGGGGAAATCAAGATCACAGCCAAAAGATTCTTGCTCCACTTGCAACTGCAAAGTCACAAGTCAGTCTGTAAGACACACAACCACTACAAATTGACAGGAAAAACAACAGCATAAAAAAGCTTACAACTTCAGTAGAGAGCTCCGCGGTGCGATCTTTTGATGACGAAACTGAAGGAATATCTGCTGTCATATTCTTCTCCTCAAACCCTGGGGGATAATCAGGATCACAGCCAAAAGATTCTTCCTCCACTTGCAGCTGCAAAGTCATAAGTCAATCTGTAAGGCAGCAGCGACAGCCACTGCAAATTGACAGGAAAAACAACAGCATAGAAAACCTTACAACTTCAGTAGAAAGCTCCACGGCGCAATCTTTTGATGACGAAACTGAAGGCAAATCCCCTGTCACATTCTTTTTCTCAAACCCTGGGGGAAAGGATTCTTCCTCCACTTGCAACTATAAAGTTATAGGTCTGTCAGTAAGACAGGATACGCAAGCACTGCAAAATGACCCCAAAAATCAGCATAAAAAGCTTACAACTTCAGTAGAAAGCTTTGTGGTGCAATTAGCATATGATATTGCTGGAATGTTCGATTCAACCATCAGACAAGGAGGTGACCATCGTTTTCTCTTCCTCCACGCAGATGAATACTCTGAAACATGGTCATAGAAGACAGCATTCCAGATATTTTGCATGCAAGAGTCAAATAATTTCCTGCAAACAACTGTATAAGAATCACAATAGTTCTCAAAGCTTCCAACAGATTTTGAGCTTCCTGAAGACTTCAAAGGGATTTCAGCAGCAGGAGATTTCCGGTTAAGAAGATTAGGAGCTTCTGCACTCCTCTCAGGATCAATTAAGGCCTTACTGCCACCAAAACCTGCAGACTGTTCACATAAACGATAAGTAGCATGCAAGATTCGAAATTTCAATTCCACTCACTTCTATATCATGCTTGAACGTTATTTACCATTCTGGTACCAGGAGATGACATCTTGACAGACTGATTAGTGACTTTCTTTTGATTAGTGGCTTTCTTGAGATCTTTCTTTTCAGAGATGCACTCTGAAATTGCATGGCTAACAATCTCATCGAGTAGAGTCCTACGGGCTGCTTTCATAATAACCACATGTAGCTGGGAGCATACTTCTTGAGAAATTTCGGATACAAAATCTTGTAAAGATGCAGTCTCATGCCCATCGGGATTAGACAAAAAGAGAGCTCCAGGGGTAGCCGTAGTCCAACTACTAATCAAAGATTTCAAACTAAAGGGTCTATACTTATCAGCAACATGACGTATCTGCAAAAGTCAACATCAATGAGCAAGCAATAAGCACATACCACTTCGGTGTAGTATCACATAGCTTGAAAGAGTTGGACAATCTCCAATGAAAACAAGCAACGAGGGAAAAAAAGGTCAAAATCCTCAAATCAACACAAAACCAGTTAAAAGAAAACTTAATTGGTGCTTAGTTACCATGGCTCTTCTATGGGAACAAAAACTTGAAGAAACTTGTAAAACTTAAAATAACCTACTAAATGAGGCAAATAGGTATTCATAGAGAAGTAAATGTACCCAAAAAATCAAGTAGAAGCCCTAATTAACACTGAAGCAATTAGTTCAGAAACCTAAGTAAAAATTAAAAGCAACTACTTAAAAGAGTAGAATTCTCTGGTGATTATCTCTATGTTGCAAATGACCGAACTCTTCGATTTTAAACTCATTAATAATTGGAACCATGAACTGTCTTTCCAACGGTCTAGAACCTAAATTAATAGTTAAATTATATGAGGCTTAAACAAAGGGAAGCAAGTTGAAACTCATGGTATAATTAAAACAGGGGAAATAAAGTTAAACTGATGTGAAGATTGGTGAAGAAAAGAGGAAACTACTTCACAGAATTGCTTAGTTAATTTTGGGTTCAGTTCGGAGAGTGCAGCGTGGAACAATTTATATAAAAGTACAATAGACTAACAGTTTGTAGATAGACCTTTTCCAGTTTTGACAAGACCATTAACCAAGCGACAAGCACAAAGAATGTAGGAAAATTATGCCAAATTCAAAATGGCAAGTTTGGAGGATATCGGAAGATGAGTGAGAATATAATCCTACAGATAAAATGGGAAGAGACAACGGGTTGAGTAAGGCCAAATTGACACAAGCCGGGAGGAAGAAAAAGACAACAAGAACAATAGAGATCCGACGAGCCCATACAGAAACAAGAACAGGATGCTTTTTGGAATATGCAAGAAAGTATGGTAATAGAACTTAGCACAACAGAAATTCTGAGAATTCACCTTACAGAAATGAATCCTATTAAGTTCCCACTGTATGTACAACATTATCACAAACAAAAAGGCTCCATTTCCTAGGTTGTTCATAAAAATAATATATACGGCCACTCCCCACCTCCCCAAGTTTGCTTCTATAGTAAAAAAATTATAGGCACTCATAAAAATACTTATATTCAGTCAAAAGAGTTCTCTCAGTTTTTATACTTCGACTAAAACCCAGACATATCTAATTTTAAAAAGTTAAGTGATCAGTAGCAGTGTAGCAGCTCAATCGAGGGATTCCACCCATCAAAACCGGGTAAACTGTTTTACATATGTTCAGTTTACATATAGCCTATAGCTCAGAAAATCCAATTGTACATCCAACATAATAAAACAAACATCTTCCAACAGAAAGGCTGGGATAGTAGGAGAAACAGCTGCACCATGTACTCCAGAGCTAAATATAGGACCTAGAAAAATGCTACGGAAACACACACTCACCATCACTGAATCCACAATGTATCCATAATGACACCATGAATAAAGCTCCATAAGAGAGTGCGGCCCATGTTTCGTCCCTTCATGATCTTCAAAGAACCAACACGATTCTTCGTTGACCTATTTCACACACAATATTAAGCAAAGAAAGTCATAAGAAGGGAATCGAAATTGCAGAAAATACAAGAAGTCTATTTGTCCTCCATCAAAACAATAAAAGTCTGTTTGTCTCCTCCAGATTACATAATTACATTTGTTGCAATTTGTGAATAGCAAGTAATTATATTTTTGGTCTCTACGAGAGTCAATTTCTTTTTCTTTTTTTGGAGAAAGGTGACACCTCTGAGAGAGAGTAGAGACAAAGTTACACACAACGGCTTGAAGAAGCAAGTAATTAAAAAAGTATCACCACAGAACAACACAAATCCTTAAATGTAAAAGAGAAAGTACCGAAGAGGTAGACGGAGCAAATGTTCCGGCAGAGCCAGCGGTCGCCATCTGTTGGTTCGAGTAATGAGTTCCATGTTCAGCCACCGAGTTAGAATAGGGGGAAGTTGTTGGCAACTCCACTCCATTTCCTCCTGAATCTTTGGCAACTCCCATGGACTTATCCGTCGGTCCACTTGCACCAGAGGACGAAACCATTACATAAGCAAAGCCGGTCGCAACATGGTCAGGAAATTGATTGAAATACTTTAAGGGCACTGCATTCGAAATGGTCCCGTTTAAGACGGGATAAACGTGAAGTTCTTCTGGCAAAAAACCAGTAGACAAACCCTCATATAACTGTTCCTTTATGTAAGGACCACACATTTGACCCTGTTCATTGACATACATCCATCCAGTTGCAAGTACACCTTGTGGATACACCATGCTACTCTTGTCAATCGTTGAACTGCCACCGACATCACGAGACGTTGAAACGTTCTCACTCTCTCCATTAGACTGGCAACTCATCTCAACACACAATGGTGAACCAAAATTTTGCAAGCAACTGATAATATCACACCAAACCAAAAAAAACATAAGAATTAATAAAAGTATAAAATAAGAGTTAAAAGGGTCAAAAACACACCTAAAGTATTTCGATATTTTGAGTATCATACCTGAGCTATGAGGTGTGTTGAGATAAAAATTTAGTGATAGTACACATAGGAAACTCACCCACCTAATAGTTCATGTATGAAACTAAAAAAAGGATATTTTAGCTGTGTTCATCACCCTTCACTCTATAAATAATTTGGTGTGTGAACACAAAACTAAAAAATACAAACTTCATCGAAAATAGACAATACCCAACAGTTAACTCCATTGTAGACACTACATCATCATGTTTTTCATCCTCAATAGTATCCATTGAAGTTACATCCATTCCCATCAAATCTAAAGACTTTAATCTCATTCTTGAGTAAAACGGAGGATAATCCATCTCTGTTTCACTGGATTCATAGCAAAACATCGAAGACACCATAACTTTCAACAACAAAAAATCACCAACCCTGAAAAAAATGCAATCTTTTTTACACAAAATCAACCCCACAATCTAAAATTGAATAATTCCAAACATACATCGCAAATTAGAACTAAAAGCGAGATGGGTATGAAGAAAACCAACCTATTATAACTTTTGCTGATATGGGGTCGATGAAAACCGAAAAAATCCAAATGATACCACTGCGATAACCCTACAGAGCAAATCTTGGATGTGTAGAACAATAATTTCTTCTGGGTATTGATAAAATTGCATATAGAAGCAACCCTTTTAGGGAAAAACAAAGATTTTGTGTGAATTTGTCTGTGGAGGATTGGTAAAGAAGCAGTGAGAGAGAAGGGGGCAAAAGGGGCTGAAGAAGTTAAGGTAAGAGTAAAATAAAAAGAAGAAAAGCAAATACTAAGAGATTTATTTTATTTTTTTTTAATAAATTGGGGATACGGAAAGGGGAAATGGATGTGGAAATTACAAGATCGGAAATCGAATATGTTAAGTGAACGGCTTATGGCCCGTTTGAACATACTATATGAGATTAGATTATATGAATCTGAATTCATGATTGGACGTATAACTTCGATTTTTTAAATTGTATTTTTTGTTATAATATGAAAATCTCATAAATTGTGAAAAATATTATTTTTTTTCATTTTTATATATTTTTATCAAATGAGTGAATTATAGTTCATTGGAAAAAAATTATGTGTAACATGAACAACAATGACGAGTATATATGGTCATAAACATTGTATCAGAACAAAGTCAGAACCTAACTTCTGCACCAGTTCAACTCTAAAAAAATATATGCATAAGCATAAATGAGAATTAAATACTATTTTACTCTATTTGAAATTCTTAAAGTAAGAGTTGGAGTAGAAATTGTTTGAAGGATTTTTTTATAATATAATATTTTAAATTTAAATGTATTTTCATAATTACTATTTATGAATTCTGTTTTAAAAAACTAGCAAAATCATCACATTTGACTAATTTATCTTGAAATATGCAATCAAGTCTACAAGAGAGTAACATCTCAAAATAGATAGATACATAATGTTAGTATTAGATTCATGTATGAGCTACTACATATTATTATCATTTATTTTCCACCGTTGAAAATTTTAAAAGTCAAAGTTAAAGATAAATTTGTGTGATTATTTTTTTGCAAAGAATATTTAGTTGTTTGAATATACTTTTCTTTAAAAAGAAACACCAAATATAACTAAATGAATATAGGAAAAACAAATTTTTGAGTGTTCTCCAAATTTTAAATACAATTACGTTATATCTAAATTTTTTAATAATCAAATATCAATTTTTCAAATAAAGTAAAAAAAATCGTAAACAAATAAATAATTCTTGTGAACAAACTGGTTCCAATTGACTTGCAAAAGTATAGGGAGAATTAGAGCCGTCAAAATGTGCTTAGCCCATAGAGCAGGTCCAACCCAACCCGTTATTGAGGTAGGGTGGGGTTGGGATAGAGTTTTTCAAGCCTATTTAAAACTAAGGCTTATAAGCCCAACCCATATAAGCATTTGGCCCTTGAGGCTTGATTGGCGTCGGGTTGGGATCGAGTCATAGACCAAACTATTTATTTGAGGGTAACTTACAACAATCTCACTAATATATGAGATAATTACTTAAATGCATACTATGTTGTATATAACAAATCTTACTAAAATTTGGTATGTCCAGATACATGTATCTCGAGATATATAAACTCAAAATTAGGTTAATTTGTTCTAGATACTCATACACTCTTCAAGTGGATTCGCATGCATGTAGGATACATAGACAAATTGATGTTATATAATTTTACGTTTGAAAAAAAAAAAGGGCTAGCCCGCCCTAGCCCTCAGCCCTTCTAGGGTTGGGTTGGATTGAGCATTTTCAGGTCCTTCCAAATAAAGGGTCGTCCGCCCTAGCTCATCAAATTCCTTGTCCCGCGAGGCTTGGCCCGGGTGGGGTTAGGCCAACCCTTTTTGACAACTCTAGGGAGAATCGAGTGGTGCAAAAAGGATAAAATTCATAATTATGTTATTCCGCATTTGAAAATGAGTATTATTAATTAATTTTAAAATTATTCAATTTCACTATTTGTATGAAAAATGATGGAATTAATTGTTAAAAATTGAGATAGCTTATAGTCTAAATTTTTTAAGAGAAATTTTTACGTATAGCAAATAAAAAATTGCTAATTGTATGTTGTAGCAAACTTTATAAAATTGCAGTCCGTAGCAAATTTTTAGTTTGCTACGGATGTGTCTTTCTGTCAGTCTTTTTTTTTATACATTTTGATTGTTTTAAAAAATAAATAAAAAGACATTACTTTCGGTTAGAAAAAAAAGGAAAAAAATCATTGAAGTCACGCACGTTCGGTTTCATTCGAATTCCCTTCCTTCTTCATCGTCTTCAACATTAAGAACTCCATTGTAACTCAATTCAGAAAATCGATCAAGCTATTGATGGTACTATACAAACAGTCGAGATGATTAGAATGTAGAGATAGCAACAAGAGGCAATTTCATGACGAAAACATACTCTAATTTTGCTTTTTTTGGACGAAGATGGTGTTCAACATGTATTCAAAATCAGATTTCCTTTTTAACTATCATCAATTTAAGTTGAATGTATATTGAGAGGTGTATATTTTGTTCGAAATAGAGTTTAACGCTTATGATTTGATAGTTAATTTGTAATCTAGAAAAAATTGTGATCTGAAAATTTTCTGGATGAAATTGTTGATTATTTTGAATTTGTGATCGGAGATTCGCTCATTTCACAGTAATATTTGTGTTCGAATTTGTATATTTGCTTAGAGTTTATACGTATAGGTTTTTAGATATGATTCAGTAAGATATGTATAATTTATATATGAAACTATTATGTGTTTGTTTTATACAGTGCATCTTCATCATGATTTTGGATATATGATTGTTATACAAATGCAAAAATTTGTACTCTGTGAAAGTAACAATAACACTGCACTTGTATGAAATTGTATAATTGTGTATAAAGTTTTAATTTGTGTATATAATTGTTTATATATAAATGTATATGCAGAATGTGTATATAAACGTTTATGAGTATATAATGGGAATATGTATATATGTGAATAACTGAAGTTGTTAGAATTTGTATAAATATATGTTCTGTTTGTTGTTGAAATTCTTAATCGTATAAATGTATATGTATATATAACTTCTTTTTTTTATACAGAAATTTTGAAAATGGCTTCATTAGCTATTTTGGTTATGCATTCCGGTAGATGGGACAATGACAATTGTTACGTTGATTATACAATTGAGGGGGTGATTTTTAAAGAAAGTTCATCGTATAAGGAGTTGTATAAT